GTACTTATTTAATTCTGAAAGTAAAAACTAAATTTCAATTTTAGGTGTCATTCACATCACCTTTAATGACGGACCTCAGTTCAAAAAGCTTCAAATGTTTGCCTTTTAAATGAGAATATATGGAAAATGGAAATCTGACAAAATCTAACAAAAGCACAGCACTGAACTGACTATCAAGCTAGGTTGAATTAACAAGTTTTGAGTGCATATGGAAAAAATGGACCTGTTATGGTCTACAATATAAAACATCCCCTGGATCATATAAGTTTGATGCAGCCCTCACATTGCTGATAAACATAAAAAAACAAGGCCAGCCTTTTGCTTTATTTTGTTTGTCCTTGTGCACCTTCAAAAACAAGCACGCCTTCATTTATCTGTAAAACTGAATATATGTACCAGTGTGTGCTCGCGTGTTACAGATGTAATCTGGAGTCTGTATTCCAACCCTACATCATTTGCTTAAATTCAAAACGCCTCCTTTACAAGGCCAGCAGTGTTTGTGAAAAATAGTCAAACACATTTATGAGCAGTAGTCTACAGACATTTTCACAGAACACACTGACGCTTGACTTTTGAGAAAAGTTAAAGATGTGACCATCAGTATATACAAAGATACTGGGTCATTATTAAAAAATTGTGCAGTAAAGACTCCAGTTCTTGTTCCTGTAATTCTAGCAGGTTGACAAAATTGCATTTCCCAGCACAAAAAAGGTAATGGGAGAAAACCCTCTCAATGACTTGGTTTCAAACAGCAACACCAGAGCATTAATATCTACTGATATCTAGAATTATGGCATCTATAAGTATGTAATAACTTTTAGAACAGAAGTTGAGGGAGACTTGCAATAGTATTATAGCTATCCTGATTAAAATCCTTAGCCCTTTTCTTCTTGAAAAAGAACATGAAAGATATGCTAGCAATGGAAATACGATCCAACATAGGCCCCAATCTGTTTTTTTTTTTTTGTTTTTTTTGAGATAAGATTATCTGTTAACAAAAGTTTGCCTGTTGAACTATTTATTTGAATGTTTCAAACCTTAAGGACTTCAGTTAGCCATTAATATTATATGACCTTTTCCAAATTTGAGGGTCATTTTATAGATATGGTTTCATTTTATGTATTCAGGTTTATCCCTTATTTGAAGATTTCTTCCAAGTTAACATTTTGAATGTCTAATTATTTCCTGTAGCACCATTTAAATATATGAAAATGCACAAATTACTGCTTGATGAGCCCTCATGTACAAAGGTATTAGATAATATCATGGTACATTGTTACCACAAGACCATAGGATGTCAGCACTTCAGTTTTCTCATCCTGACTGAATAAGGTAAAAATATGCTGCAGCGAAAATATGTGTTTACACTGTTATGTAGCAACATTCACAGACGTCAGCAGCTTCACTGCTGAGGGGCTGTGTTGGACTAAACCCCCTCCATTATAGGTCTTTGTGCTGGTTCGGCAATTACATTCAGTGTGTTGTTTGCAGAGTGAATCAGTTAGCCAGTGTCGTTAACAAGTGATTTATTATATACACTGA